TAAGTTTTTAGGCTGACGTGACTGCTGCAGGAAAACAAAGATGGCGTCCGTGTGCGACTCACTGTAGCTTGTCCTGTAACAGCTCCAGCCTCTGCCGGTCGACGTATCGTGAGAAGAGGGAGAGCAGGTTTGGAGGGGTGAAGAGGGGAGGCGACAGGGCCGAGGACGGGACGCTGAGCAGCTCCCTGGTCACCGAAAACACCAACTCAGTCCTGGAACAGCGAGACGCTCGGTTAGCGAACAGACGGGGGAGAGAGAGATGGGGGAGACGAAAGGGACAGGAGCGCTCACCATCGATTGTCGTCCATGAGTTGGCAGTTGGGGTCGGAGCTCTGCATCCTTTCTCCTTCGCTCAGGATCAGATACAGCAGGGTCACGCCGAACTGCAGGCGGAGGAGGGCTTGTTAGACGGACAGTCAGACAGCCACCACAACAAACTATGTGCTGTGTGTCGGTCTTTACGGTTACTGTGTTGTTGTTGTTGTTTACCTTGTTGTGCAGTACTGTGGCCAGTTGGCCTTCGCTGCCCTGAAGCTCCTGAAGCAGATCAGTCAGGCTGGAGCTGGACAACGACTGGATCACTGCAGAAACCGGCTCCACTAACCAGCACAGCACCTGAACAGGAGGCAGAACCGGAGCTGGTTAACAGAACCGGAGCTGGTTAACAGAGCAGGAGCTGGTTAACAGAACCGGAGCAGGAGCTGGTTAACAGAACCGGATCTGGTTAACAGAGCCGGGGCTGGTTAACAGAACCGGAGCTCCGGACGGTTCAGGGTTTATCTAACTGGGTCAGGATGCTTAAATTAAACCACAGAAGAAGAAACGTCTTTTTTTTCCAGCTGATTCAGAACAAACCGAGGACGTTCTGTGAGAGCGGTGTCGGTGTACCTGGTCCTGCTTGTCCTTCTTGGCTAAGGCGGGGAGGTTGCGGGCAATCGCCATGACAACGGCGGCGGCCTGGGGTGAGGGCAGGAAGGGGAGGAGCCTGGAGATCAGCCGCTTTCCCTTCCTCACCGACATGATCATCACACACTGCTCGTCCCCCACCCTGACGGAGGAGAAGAGGAGGAGTTACACCGCTGTCACCTCACCTGGCTCACCTCCCTCCTGTCCCACCTGTCGTCCCTCCCACCCGTCTCACCTGTTGCCCCTCCCACCCGTCTCATCTGTTGCCCCTCCCACCTGTCGCCCCTTCTTCCTGTCTCACCTGTCGTCCCACTCCTTCTCCCTCAGAGAGCTGCACAGCTGCTCTGTGTTGGTCTTGTGCTGCTCCAGCAGAGTCTCTCGGTCCTCCTCCGGCGCCTGGACGAATCGCTTCTCAAAGTCCTGAACCTCCAGCAGCAAACTGTACATCTGGGAGGAGACAAGGGTCACCTGGCTGTGTTTGGGGACCAGGTGTGTTTCCTGCAGTCTGGCTTTAAGGTGAGACATGGACCTACCTTCTCCACCGTGTAGAGGATCTGTCGCCTCTTATTCCAAACCTGCTTCTCTCTTTTCTCCTGCAGGTGGACAAACAGGAACTTCAACAACTCATAATAATTAATTCCCATTGACTCACTTCTCACACTGTTTGAACAACAACATCTGAGGAACTACTAAAGATAAAAAACTGAAGGTTTTACTGTTATTTCTCATCATGTCATCGGTTCAGAATCCGTAATATTTTAAAAAAACTGTATAAAGCAGAATTCAACTAGAGATATTTTCTGAACCACATGCAGCTGCACGTCACAATAAGACAAAACTAAACCTGCGGAATACTTTCAAAATAAAATACTTAAAAGAAAAAAAGTTATTTTTATTTAACTTTCATAAGTGACTGAGCAGGTTTGACAAAAACACTGGTAGAATCCAAGTAAAGCTTGGTTCTGGGGTTTTTAAACAGGTTCTCTAAATATAGCTAAGAAAAATAATATTTTTATTTTATCTTTCTGAGATAATGTCGTTCAAACAGCCTCAAATTTCACAATGTGTGAAAAAACCTGTAGGTGAAGAAGCACATTGCTAAAGAATGTATCTCGGAAAGGTTTTGATTAATCACGCAAAAAAACTCTGATACTAACTCTAATATCCAGAGTTTATGATGATAAAGTTTCAAGCAAATTAGAGTTGGTTGAGCAGAAAGTTGTCGATTATTTGAGATGAAATAACCCAGATTCAAGAAAGAGCAGAGCTTTTGACAACAACAGGAAACGGACCTCGTCGTCGGTGCGTGTCGTCACCACGGCGTCGATCATCTTCCGGGGGTTGTTCACGCTGGACACGGTCAGTTTACCCAGAGAGCCGGCGAACTGAACTGTTGGACAAACAGGACGTGAGCCTCCGGCAGCGACATTGGCATGGAGTCAGACAGTCGGGTGTGCTCTGCTGTGGCCTACCTGGTCTGTAGGTGTGCTCCACCTTGGCCACCTGTGGAGTGATGAGCTTGGTGGTGTGCTCCTTCTTGCTGCTGTCTCGCTCCCTCTCCTGACGCTTCTCCATTTTTTCATAGTAGTTCTGTACGTTTGAACACACACAGAGTCAGACATCCTCCGAGTAACGGCACACCGAGGTGTGAATATTCATTATTTAGATCGACAGGCGGGATTAGATGAGACAGATTAGATAAGACAGATGCTTTATTCATCCTTTTGGGGAAATTCAAGGTATCCAGTAGCTCACTCATGTCACATTTAAGAAAAATACGGACAAATAATGTGCACTATAACGTGTAAATTGTGCTGGTAGAAGAATTAAGATGCAAAATTCTGATGGTATTTACAAAAAAGTATTCAAAAGTCTAAGTATAGTATTAGAAGATATTATTATTAAAGCGCCA